TTAAGATGCTGCTATGAGAAGGTGGTTGGACATGGGATTCAATGCCAAAGAACACAAAAACTTCCATCTGTCACCCTGGAGGGACCACTGAAAAAGCACTCTGTATGCTTGAACCTTCTCATGCTGCTTCTTGTGCTCCCACTAAAGGCAGCAGCAACAGAATTTCTACCAGCACCAGAGAGGCAGTTTTTACCTCAAATGTATGTTATCCTTCTGGCCAAGAATTGTATGTGCTTAGAGAAGTCTTTTGGAAATCACAAAGGACAGCTCAGCATTTCCACTGCTTTGCAGCTATTTGACATCCAGCTCTGTGGATAACAGGAGTCAGTACCTTATAATAGAAGAAATGAGGATTTGCCACTAGGGATTGTGTCTGATATTTACCACACCAATATTAAATCAATTATAAATAGATTCAATACTTACATACCAATTGCTTATTTTTAAATTAGGTCTGCCAATCACCCACATAGGAGAATGCAAAACAGGGAGAGAGGAAATATTTTTTTCTAATTTCCTATCTCCCCCAAATTTAAAGCTGTATGACCAGCTTTAGCCAGAACACCATATGAAATACCACAAGTGCAAATATCACAGACAAAAAGAAAATAACTCTTCTCAAAGTAAATGAAAACTTTTTTAAAATGCTGTGATTTCCTGTGGTGTGTAAATAGTCTGATCATTATGGTGCAAAATAATCTCAGTTTAATAGAAGAGTCGATTTTATCCTTTGCACCATATAAAAAGCTCATAGCAAAGGTTAACATAACCACAGTTATATATTTAATGTTAAAGCCAGCAGTATGCCTTTGGTAAAAATCCACAGTACTTCTGCAATAATGCGACAATCTCTCTCCCTTTGATAGTACACAAATCCCTCCACAAACTATGATTAATATACAAAGTAATCCTGCTGTCTGCGGGTCCATGTGACCCCACAGGACAGACACACTGACCTGTGTAATTACTGCATCTCTGTAGGCTAAAATACAGTGTCTATACCAGTATCTCTAGGTTGGCTAACTAGGCCTGTGTATAGGTCTGAAGGCTCAGGCTACAATTCCCCATTTTGTGGAAAACTTTCTTCTTCAGTGTCCATACAGACTAAAACAGGACACTTCATTTAAAATCAGTTTAGCAAAAAGTTCCTGCTGTCCAAGATCTGCACTGTCAAAGCATTAAACAATCTGCCTGGCCTGGAGTCTGCTGGCTGCCAATGTGCTACCCAAAAAAAGGAACATTTTTGCATCTCAATAGACCTTCCAGTATCAACAAATCTTTAAACTAGAAAATCAGCTACTCTAAGGAAGAGCAGAAATAATGTCCACATTGTACCATGCTGAGGTACATTTTTGGCAATTCCCATTTGCAAAACATACTGATTCACTGTAAGTACAGCTGCTGGAAATATTTTAATAAGAAAAATAAATTAAAGCTACTCACAGAAGTGTACCAACCCCCTGAGAAAGATTCTGTTACACACAGACACACAGCTTGGAAGCATTCTCAGGGATAAAGGTGCATCCACTGCACATGTGTATTTGCATCATCTCCAGCTCCCGAAAGCTGTCCCGAAGCAATTCAGTCTTTTAGATTCTAAAAATGAAAGAAATCTTACCCCAGTGCCTCACACAAACAATCTACTGTAGCACAGAGTCTGGGGAAGGACCATGGCCATCATGTACAGAAGGAATGCAAGAAACAGGATATAAATGGCTTAGACAACATCCAAAGCTGAAAATTACTCCAAGGAATTCCGAAAACTTAATTCTGCTGTAAGCATTAGTAAGTTCTGTGGGCTATGGTATATTTTTACCCTTTCTCCAGTTGATTTGTATTATCTCTGATATTTTACCAAAATGCTAATCACTTTAAACTTGTAGTATCAACCCTGTATCTATTTGAAAAAATATGAAAAGCCTAATCTCCACTTTGCCTTCCCCCCATGGTCAAGAAAGTAAAAAATTAAAACTATGTGGTATTGCTGCTACTGTCAAATCATTACAAATAATTTTTAATAAGGACAAAACACTTTATAAGTTCTGAAGATCCAGTACAACCAAAGGGACACATTAGGAATTTTCTTTTTCAGTTCATTTCTCAGTGTTTATTCACTGAGTAATCCCAAATTTTTGGCTTCCTCTGTGTCAATCTTCAGGGGGAAAAAAATGAAGGTGTCCACAGTGATTTTATTATAGGTTTTGTTTCCTAGTCACCAGTTGTCCTTGGATACAGTGTTTTGCATAAGCATTCATTATATGATACTAGAAGGATGTATTGAGTTAACGCTTTGCTTTCAGAGAGGACCAACTTTTAGACAGCATTAGCTACTCCTACTAGCTATTTCAAATTAGAAAAATAAATGTAGCCAGAAGTAGATAATAACAAGAGATTTGCTAAACAACAAAGCACTTTGTTTTTGTTTTTTTTTATTTCAAAGGATTACAAAAATTAGCTTTTTCAATAATGGATGGTAAATTCTTTTCTGAAGAATTTTTATTTCTCTCTGAGCTAACTGAGCTTCCAGGCATACATATCTGTATGTTCTAAGCTCCCAGTGGTCAAGCTGACCATCGCTTTGTCTTCGTATTTATGGCTCAACTACTGCATCCCATAATTCTGTCTGCAGAAAACTAAATCAAGAACAAATTAAAGGAGTTGGGTTTCTATGATCTTTCTCACAGACTGAAAAGAAGAAGGAACTAATATTACTCATGGAATCACACTCCTACATCTCCTATACTTCAGATCACCCCTTACCTTCAAGAAGTTTCGATTCTCATTTAGTTTTCTCTATCCATCAGTCATGATGATATATGTAAGATTAGTGACTCAGTTCAGCAGATGAAAAAGTTAATCTACTTTCCCCCACTTTTTTAAAAAATATTTCAAGCTGACAAAAACAACTTGCCCAATTTTCAAAGAAAAGTAAAAATTCAAATATTATCACTAGCGAAAACACACAGACAAACAACTCCTTGGCACAACAGAGTTCAAAGAGTGTGGCAGCTAAAGGTGTACACAAAAGTAACTCCTGTTTGAAGGATACTGATATGGTTTTATCAGTCACTATAAACATGAACTTCTAAGAAATCATTATAAAAAAGTAGGGTTGTACACACTTTAAAATGCAAGGAACTAATTTATATGCATTGTTAAGACAGAAAAGTAAGACTTTTTTTTTTTTTTCTTTTCATAAAAGTATGGACAACACAGGTTTTTCATACCCAGAAATGATCAAAGTATTTCCAAACTGGAAAAAAAAAAAAAGTATATATATATAGAAGTGGTTTTACATAAAGACTTTAAAAAAGCATCTGAAGTTATTTTTAAAAAGGGCATAAGAAGCCAGCATACAGTTTCCCATTCTATATTCAGCAGTGCCTAAAACAGGTAATATAATGGCCTTATTCTACTGTTTACTAAGATTTCAGGCCCAGCTACCAACCAAATTAAGGCCTTTATAGAGCTGATTCTGCATACTACCATGTCCCTTTGCAGATTTTTGTTTGGTTTTCTTTCATCCTCTGGCAGTCAAAAAATAAATGAAAATATTTGAAAAATTGAAAATAAATGAAAATTGTATTCTGATAAACCGCAGATTAAATGGCTCCTCTGGTGAATCTGTCTGCACATGGCTAAGAACCAGTACAAGAGCTGAAGTGGGATGTAACTAACATCTTATGTACAGCAGGAATTCCACTGTTGCACAGGTTTATGTATGTATTTTAATACATATTTCCTAATGGAGGAGAGAAATATAATCCTGCTGTCCACAGTGAGCACACATCCAGATTAGCAATAAGGAACCATCATACTGCAACTGCTTCTCATACACTTTAAAATCTAAGAACAAGAACTAAGGCACTAAAGTTTGTGGTCCCCCTAAACAGCATGCAGGGTATAAATTACAGACACTCTATTTTATAACTGCAATATTTTTAAGACCACTGACTTGATTTAAAACAGTTCTTAAGACTTCTATATGTACAGAGACAGATATACCTGTGTATAATCGTAGCAGACCATAGCATAAAACATTTATCTTCCTTTTTACATGTTACACATGACACATTACACTAATTGATGGTATAGTTATAAATGCTGTTATAAAAGACAAAAAAGGAAACCAGCCGATCACTTCCATTCTAGTGAGCTTTGTCTGCAGACTGACTGCTCCTGTGGCAAGTTTCTATAAATTCAGATATGGAGCAGCTCATGAAAACATGTGACTACTTCAGAAGAAAAGCATTTATATCTCTCCCTGTTCAGCTCCTCAGAATGTGAGATTTTTTTCTAAGCACAGTTTTCTCTACAGTGGGAGAAACACGTCTTGATGGAAGGAAATGTTCCTTCTATATAGATTCTTTGGTTTTTTAAAAAAATAGGAATTATTTGGTATGACAAATATTTGCCTTATCACTTGAGATCCTTCCTTTTCTTTTTTTCTTTGTCTTTTACCTCCAAGACAACTAGAAAAGTGTCAAAATTGATATATAATTATGTTGCTGCACAAAAAAAAGGTTCCTTTTTATTAATATTTAACTCACATTTCATATTCTTAGATATGCAGTAATATGAAATCCTGCTTAAGTGCAAACTGTCACACCACCACAAAATTTAAGAGGTGATTAGCTGTTTTAATGTAACAGATGTGCAGCCTTCTGGGGTTCTAAACCTCCCTTCTTCAAATGCATCACCAACCTGCACAATTAGCAGGAATGATTAAACAAAATTCAATCAGAGCTAAATAGCAAAAGCTGAAGCTTACTAATACTCCATCAATATATAGATTATTTTATGTGAACACTTTGGAAAATTTACCTGCCAGTTTGGCTCTAAAAATTTGAGTCTTTCCTCGACTTTTTTTTTTGGTTTCCATGCCCTAAAAGAACTCCAGCCACGTTACTCCAGACCTGAAGAGATCATTTGCACAGCCAATCAAACATAACATACTTGCAATCATAAAAAGCAAGAGAAGAAAAATAGAAGTTTCCTACCCGTAATAAGGACTGCGATTCGTCCTTTGCCTTGCCATCCCCGGATCCAGAGTAGGGCTGGGTGAGCTGCCCGGCTTTCTCTCCTGCTCCGGCTGGGACACCCTGCAGGAAACCCTTGCTCTCCACTGCCAAGCCATAAATGGGCCTTGCAAGATGGGCAGCTTCTACATTTGGACTATCCCTTAAAGGCTTTGGCTGCTCTTGGCCAACAGACACGGGGGTCAGTAAACCTAGACTGGTCTGTGTGTACGATGGGCTCCCCCTCAAAATGTCTGTTCCTCTCCAGGTCACATTGCGAAGATCATCACTGGGACTGTCAGTCCAGCCTTTCTCCTTGAGCACTTCCTTATCTTCTATCTTTTCCCTCTTCACTATGCTGTCAGATATGGGCTCCCCTATTTTGGGGTCTGGATTAATGAGACTGTAGACCTTAAGGTCAATTTTTGGCTCCTCCTTGATAGACGAAACGCCATGACTGTCCTCCCCGTTGGCTGTAGTGATGTCCATCTCCTGACAGTGCACAGTGTTGAAGTGCTCCAGTAGTGACTGAGTGTCAACAGCTGTGAAGCTGCACTGACGGCATTTGTAGCAGTTGTGTACTCGCCTGGAAGAAAACAAGAAGCACATTAACATGAGAGTCACCCCTTGGCCTCCCCTCTCACAGTGATTTTAAGATTAAGAAAATAAATCAAACTTACAGTATAACCCTCTCTAAATAAAGCAAGCAGGTTTACTTTGGTGTCCTATACGACGGGGTAAAAATTCTGCTGATTTTTCCCCGCATGCTTTGCCATGGCCTCCTATTGTTCTTTCATACTCCATGGCATTATTCTAAATTTTGTAAAATTTTCACTGGGATTTTGTGTTTTACCTCTTCAGTTTGCTGCAATATACTTTCACTTTTTGCTGCAGCACAAACACTAAAAAAATATATTTTTCAACCAATATCAAATAGAAGAGGACAGTTCTCTTGTTATTAAAAAAAACACTTTATGTAATATATATCTATGTTAGAAAGTTAAAAAGTTTTAAGAAGTCCTTTACTTTCCACCAATTCCATATACTTTTGCTTGACAAAGATGATTTTGAATGGAGCTCTGGTTAACTTATGGATAAGAATACACCAAAGGACAGAAGATTGTACACAGGAGAGGGCACTGCTTGGTTCTCTATGGACATTTTAACACAACTTAAAAAGATGCTGCTCTAAAGATAAAGCACAATAGCTGGCTGTGACACTACAAACTGTGTTTCCTGTCAAATATAGAAATTCTTGGGTAGGAGCTGTGGAACAGAGTGGAATAACACGCCTTCCTGTTTTTACTCTAAAAGCCTATAAAAAGTACTGCATTACTAAATTATGTAAAGCATATGTTGCTACATGAGAACAACACGTTACTCACTTACTGTATCTATCATAGGAACAGAACACTGTTAATGAGTTCTCTAATGCCATTATGAATAGTTGTTCATAGCACAGGAGTGGTCAGAGCCCTCCATCAGGCTCCGGGTCCCGCTGCGCCCGGCATCCTACCAATGCAGAGCAAAATGTCATCCCTGCCCTGCAAAATGTACAGAACTCTATGAGAGCTTCTCCCTACAGACACACACATCCACACCCCAGGCATTCCGAGTCACAACAGTGTCTTTAGCCAAACTAAAAAAATGAGCCTTTCACTATCCACACAGGACAAAACTTGTATGAGAAATCTGTTACTGCCCTGACTCCAATTGTTAGAATTAAGTCTTTCAAGGCCAAATCTTTGTCTCGGTGAAGTTGATGGCAAAACTCCCATTGACTTCAGTAAGAGCAGGATTTGGCTCTTGGTGCATCTGTAGAATTGGAATGAGACACAAAATGTCCCTTTTAGACTATGATAGTTTAAAAGGGACAACTTGCCAAACTTATTAAACCCCCTCGCCTTCCTTCTCTCTTTTTGTTGGAAAAACAAACCATATGTTATTTACATTGTCTGATTTTCTTGCAGTTGTGTCAGCGCACAGACATGAGTACACATTCAGATTCATGCCTTTCAGCCCTTGTGCAATATCAGTTTTCTTGCTGTCATGTTCCGTATTTATATTCATTTTAAGGGACTAGATGGTCTTGTTCCATTATGCAGAAAATAGATTCAGTTATTCTCCACACAGCCTTATGGCAACAAAACCTACTTGTGGGAGAGCAAGTTGTGGGTTAAAATTCTGTTCTGGCCATGTTCCTTTTCCTTCATTCTACAATTGTGTTTTATTAAAATCAGCTTGTCTCTCAATGCGACACTAATATATTCTCTCTTGCAACTTAATTCTTTTCTAAACCAAGCTTAATTCTCTTCTGAACAAAAAAAAAAAAAAATAGAAAAAAAAGAGTGCTATCTGATCAAAACCATTTTATAAATACAAAAAGCCAAGTTATAAAAAGGGTCAGCCCTGTAAAGGTGGGATACCATCAGAGAAGTCCAAGTTAGACAGGGGCTAGTTATCTTAAAAGCCAAGTTAAACAAGACACCATTTGGGGCTAATGGCTCAACCACATACACTCCCCATGTGAAAGTTTATCAATCCTTTGGGACACTACTTAGCCCTAAGTGTCTCTTGTTTAACTTGGCTATTTCAATAGCTAACCCCCTTCCTAACTTGGCTCTCATCTACAGACATCACACCTCCAAACAGCTGATCTTTTTCTGCCTAACTTGTCTTTTTTTTTTATTTTTCCATTCCACACTGGCTGAATGTTTTTGATCAGGAGCCATATACACCACACTTCTGAGGACACAAATAAATGCTGAATATTAGATGCAGTTGTAACCACATGGCTGAAGCTCAATTAAAATCACCCTTATTACATTAAAGGTTTGTTAATTTAAATTATTTCTAATTGGTTCAAAGACAGTCATATAAGCATTCTTTCATTCTTCTATCAGACTATGATAAGCATTGTGATATGGAAAACATGAAGACATACTTCAGTAGCTAGTAACACAATAGGCTTTTTGTTTCAGAACCTACAGTTTTCCAGTACACATTAAAAATCTGCCATCAGCACTATAAATCTTCATACTTCACATGCGTTTGTCCTGTGTATTATTCTATCCCCAAGCTCCAAAATGTAAGCAAAAGTCTGGAACTGTCCAATATAAGTCATAGTCCCAAATAATAAAATAGTTACTATCATCAGCTATTAGAAAACTTTTAAAAGTTGGAAAATTATTCTTTCTCAGAACAAGGCATAAAAAGAAAATGTTTTCTTCTCAGTTTTCACTCCACCCTGACAGCAAGCAGGGAAACAAATTGGCAACGTTTGATTTCTCTTTTACTAGAAATTAAACCTACTCTATGTTTCTAAAAGCCCAAGTTATATCTAGAGTTGTGTACAAAGCTCTCCAAGGCTAAGCAACAAAATTTTAAAAATTCCAGTTCGCAAAGTACACAAGAAGCATTCCTGTGCATTACTTCAAAGTTACACTTTACAGCTATACCATCTGAAACTCTGAATTCGTCTGGTGAAATACTGTGTGTTGATATACAGAGCTGCTCTAAGAGGAAAATCTTGGTATGGAAGAAAGCAATGTAAATGGATAAGAAGGAAGCACTCTTCCTTCTTTGTTATTGCTTATACAGCCCTCAAGAACACTAACAGCAGGCCCAAGCCATAAACTGGAAATCTCTGCAATATGGCTCTTGGCTGGCAATGTCATCCCATCCACTGAGGTCACTCAGCATTATTACTTTCACTACAAAAAAAAGCAAACACCTGATTATTTGTGGACATTGAAACATTTATGGCCCAACCCCAAGATTAAATATCAAGAAATTCAAGCAAAACCTTTGCTGCATAGTTACATTCTAAGAACTTTAAAAACTCTTATCATTATTTGTACCGAAAAGTACTTGAATTAGGTGCTGTAAGATACAAGGATTTTCCCTTGCAAAATCTTGAAGTTGGAGAGATTACACAGTTGGGGTTTTTTACGGATTTAACATTCTTTATTTGAACTTCCTAACAGGCTGCAAGACTCCCGACACTAGCCAGTTGTTAATTAAGTCTTGTTGACATACTTCTAACTAGTCTGAAGTATTACAAAACACCATCCTCTACAAAACAAGTAATTTTTTTTTGTAATTACCTGAAGACAGTCCTAGGCTCTAGGGCATAGAAAATACTCTGGAAGGTATGGCTGTCGTATCATTTCAATTTTTTCATATTTTATTTTAATTATAAATATCATAATTACTATAATTTCTCATGAAGAAACAGGTTTACAAGAAAGTTAACTTTTGGGATGGGTGCTGCACTCAAGCTTGTAGGGAGGGAAAATATTCAGAAGAAAAGACAGCAAGCAAAGCAAGCAAGAAAATTCAGTGCAGTGTTAGAACGGAGAGGAGACAGGGCAGAGTGGAGAGCAAGACTGAGATCAAAGGAGAGCAAAAGCCACTGGCAAGAGCAAACAAGTTCAGAGCAGTGAATTAAGGTGTCAGGAGAATGGAAAAGGCCCTTATAGCTGCTGCTATTATTCACTGAGTGAACGTTTCTTCTCTGCTGTAAAACTGGAAGCTGGTGGGTCTCAATTTACATTTATTCCCTGAGTTTCTTCTCTGGGGGAAGTGTCCCAAAGGTGCCAAATTTCCATAATCTGCAGATCTGAGACCCTGCTTTGGCTTTTTCTGCCTGAGAGCCTGAGGGTCAGTCCCCAACACCCCCACTCCTGAGCTGCAGCCTGGGTGCTGGGAAGATGCAAGCCCCAAGCACTCCTTTGCCTTTTGCCCCCCCTACCTCCTTTATCTTTGAGAGGTAATGAATTATTTAATTAACTTGAAATTAATTTCTAAAGAGAACCTTACGTAACTTCTGTCATCCACATTTCAAAATAATTTATTAGAAAAATTATTCTACACCATTGCCAGAGCTTTCGCTTCATTTGTCTTTACATTTTCATATTATATTTTGTAGTTTAAAAATCACTATCCTACTTTGTTTTTAAAGAGTTTAGAGGATTTTTCAGCATAGCACTTCTAATTATAACCAGCACTGATCAAATGCTTTCTATCAAACAAGGTTTTACATGAAAAAATCTGTATTTTGCAAAATTGAAAAAATGCACTGTTCTCCCACGTCTTAGCAAAATTATAAGAAAAAAGGGGCACTTCTGCAAGAAGCTGCTTTGATTTAAAAAAAATAATCAAAATTAATTATTTTTGGAACAAGCAAGAAAATAATCTCTAGACTAAGTGAAACAACATGCAAAATTTGCCCAAATACTCAGTTTGATTTTTATCTAAATTAAAAGTGCTGGCATCTTCTGGCTCATCAGAATACCAGACAGTTTTGAGAAAAAACTAAGCTTTGCAATTAACGTGAATAGTATCTGATTCCTCAGAGGTATAATGGAAAATGAGTAGTAGCAGAATTAGTGGAAAATGGAAGCCAATAAATCTTCTAGGGATTTATTTGAGTAAGCATATTTTAGCGAGGTTTAAATACAAGTAAACTCAAATGCAGTGTGATTCATTGACTTCAAATTTAACTGAACAGCTCTCAAATAATCATGTCAAGAAATACTGAATAGAGTGTTAAGTGTAAGTATACATTTCTGTAGAAAGAAAACTTGTAAAGAACTGCTTCTGCAAATTCTAATACTGTTGCAAATACATGTCTCCGAAGAAATAACATTGGGATATAAATAATTTTTTAGTTAGCAATACATAGTGAAATTGTAGATGTAGAGCCAAAAGGAAGCAAAATAAGTAATAAAATAAATTAAGAATGTTGTTCAGATATATGACCCAAAAATGAAAATAATGCAGACAAAAAGTACATCAAAATATATAATATCTAAAGCAAACACTGATACTCCAGATTATCAGGGCTAAATCTAAATACATGAACAGCAGAACATTTTCTTCCACCACATTAATGTTTAGTATTATGTTTACTATTAGAATCCATTCAGCTCCTTATTATATAAATGAAGAGGTTTTAGAGACATGCGCATGTACAGCATTTTAAATGCATCAGACGTACATAATGTGCAGCATAAAAGCGTTGAGACAAATTCTGATTAAGAAACAGAGAAGCACAGTTGGATGTGAGCTGACTACATTAGCATGTTTCTGTCTATCAACTGTTTTACAGATAGATGTACTATTTTACAGATGTTCTACTTTTTAAAACCTGAACTGTGCTCTATCTTTAGGTCCTAAAATACAAAAAGGGAAAGAAAACACGTATCTGATACATGCCAGACTTCTACTAAAAGAAAAAGGCCCAATAATAAAAATAAAAATAAAAGTTATAATGCCTCAAAAGTTTTAGTTTGATAGAGTGAAAACTAGGTTATACATAGAAAAACAATAAAACCTGCTGGTGTTTGCCATTACAGCATCTACCACAAACAACTAACGTATGTGATTTCAAAAAAGGTGCACCATGGGGGAAAACAGCAGCAGTACAAGCAGAAAAACAAAATTCTAATTATCAAGGGGGAATTACAGGAGAAAGAGAAAGAAGTCAGTAGTTATGGGGACACCGTACCTTGCTTTACACAGTGTTCTCAGAGTACTGACTAATGTCATAGACAGGAGTTAACAGAGTACCTTGTTCAAGTGTTTTAAACAAAATAGCCTAATCTTAGAGAAACAATTTGAGACTAAATGCTTAAAGTGTATCTCTTGATTTTCCCAAGTGCAGTTCCCTGTGACTGCTGCCAGAACTGCAGGGTGCTGAGCCCTCTGAAGGAGCAGCCCCAACTACCCCATCTCAGACTTAGCACATCATTTTGAAAGTCATGGCTTCTCCTTTCTTGGGAAAAAGGATCTTAGCTCGGCATGCTTGCTAAAACTTAAATTACCAGCTGCAGCAAAATAAAAGGTTGGATTCTTTCAGTAAAGGAGCCATTTCAATCTTCCAGTTATTTAACCACTAAAAAAAGATCATGCCATGCCCCAGCAGCGGACAAAGTGCTGCCTATGGAGTTCTACAGCATGGCTCAAAGCTGTTATAATAATGCTTGGAACTTAGATACCACTTTTCATCTTCAAAGCAGTTTACAAACATTAACTAATTAATCCACACAACATCCCTCAGGCCCACTTGGATCAAAAATGGGGAACTGCATGCTGGGACCTGAATCCTCTGTGGGCCCTAGCTCCAAATTAAAGATGAGCAATCTGCTTTTTTTTTTTTTTTTTCTTCTAAATAGACTCCTGATATATTGCCAATGCAGCCCTCTGTTGGGCAACATTTGGATGCCCCCAGCTTTAATCTCTATTAAAGTATCATGCCCCAGTCTGCCTTTGTTAATTTTGGATGTCTTGGAATCTATTAAACGTGGCACAGTTTCTTGAGCTTTTAACAAAGCTTTAGCTTTGAAAATGCATCTTCTTTTGTCTTCATTCTAGCTGGCTTCCACACAAAGATCTTTTAGATGAGATAGATACTGAAGTTTTCCGTTGTTGTTGACGCATTAGCCTTAACTATTAACATATTCAGCATGATTTTCTAATATTTAACATAGCTTTTGCAGTGGCACATAACTGTTGCTCTTTACAAACTCTAAGAGCCAGCTCCTCCTCTGATGCAAACTGGACTGCCAGTTTACAACAGCCCAGGAACTGACCCAAGAAGTTTAACAGGGAGTTGGCTGCTACTATGACATTGTGTCAGACTGAGTCAGGAGACTGGCTGCATCCACCTCCAAACAGGAACATTAGCATTTAAAATAAATAGAGTGACACTGTAAACCAGCAACACGAAAATAAGCATCTGCAAAAGGATCTTGGGGAATGACATCAACAGACAAAAGAGTGTCTGCTCCCAGTGGGAAACGAACACCAAAACAGCAGTGGAATGCTCTTAAACTAATTATTACATTGCTGGACTTGGGAATGGAAAATACTACAAAAAGGTAGTACATTGAAGCACTGTTACGGAGCATAAAGGGTTCACAGTCTATCTTGGAAAGTGAAGCCATTTGTGTTCCCTGACTGAATGAAGATGCCAACTTTCTCAGAAAAAGCCTAAACTAAAATAGTACCTACAGTACCTAAAAGATTCTGGGTGGAAAAATAGCTGACCAAACCTCAAATATGCTGAAACTTCAGCATCCACACACAAATCCAAATTCCCCTCTCCTTTGCACAGGTTTAAATGTATAATTAAATCCACTGACTTAGCTGGTGGTTTTCCAAAACAAAGTGGATGTTGGATTGGACTCTGGCTGTAAAGATTTATATCTATCCACATTCCTATTTTGATTTCCAGTTTCCTCAAATGTCTGAGGAATGGTGACATTTAATTAAGAAACTTCGGGGGGGCTGTTTGTTTGGGTTCCAATCATTAACCATTTGAAACTTCACTGTACCTGTAGTGTCGGGAAATCTCTTCTTCCACCTGGGTGGTAAAGTCACATTTGGTACATGAGTGTTCTTTGTTCTCCTTGAGCGTCAGCGGCCCCTCTGCCCCTGGCAGGGCGTTTGTTTCTGGTTTGACATCAGATGCTTGGCCTTCGTGTGCATTCTCGTAGTGGAGCAGGAGAACGTCCACGTCGGGAGTGGAGAATGAGCACTGATGGCACTGGTGTTTGACTCTAGAGCTTCCTGTCACCCCTGGAGACAGGTGCAAAAGCAAGAGAGCACAGTGGGAACAATTACTTTTTCTGCAAGCAAATGGGTAAGTAATTTCTCCAAGGTGCTTTTCTGGGCTGCAGAGGCCTCGGGGACAGAACTGACAGTGCTTAATTGTACATTTATGAATGTTGTGTAGCTGCTGATAGTGACGGAGAAGTGGGCCCACCACTATTACATCTGGGCCATGGCTCTTTGAGTACCTAAAGTCACAAAACTGACAGTTGTAGCTTGTCACCATGCTGTCCTCTGCTCCTTTGCTACTCAAGTCTTTCTTTTTTGCCACACTCGCACCCTTTTCTGTCTTTGTCACTAACTCCCCATCTGCATTTTTGGCTAGATCATTCTGGTTAATGACAGATCCCCTAGAAAGCTTATCATTCAGATCTGGGTGAAGGCTTCCTGCCTGGCCTCCCCCATGCTGTTTGCTGTAATGTTCTAATAGTTTCAAAGAGCTGGACGATTCACAGCTGAAACTGCAAAATTTACACCAGTAGTAACTGGTTGTATCGGTACCATTTTGTCTAGAGGAATCTATTGGCTTGATGGGCACCGAATATCCAACTGGCGTATCATCTCCTGCTTTTACAGTGATTCTGTCTTGCCACTTCCCCAAGTCTCCAGAATCACATGGTCGAAGAGTAGGACTGGATTTATTGGAGTTTTTCTCTGAAGTTTTACCAGTATCAGAGGAGGGAAGGGCTGCTTTCATTTTGTTTGGGTGAGTCTGTAAGAAGTGTTGCTCTAGTTCAGTGGAGGAGTTGCCCATGTAGGTGAAATTGCAGAATTTGCAGCGGAAGTACTTGGTGTTGCCTTGGCAATCTGGAGTTTTCCGCCCAATTCCAATGAAGGTTCCACCTAAAGTGACCTGTGAATAAAGAATAAGATCGTTTTATCTCTACTGTGTATTTGTTCAATTAGCAAGGAGTGGAAAGAGGGGGAAAGAGAAATAGAAAGCAACTGATTCATAAGCCTCTTTTATTAATCATTGCCACCATTTTAATTTGTATTATGTTAGATATCATGCATATACCCTCACATCTTTAACATTTGTTAATGAATATTTTTAAATGTTTCTCACAGCTGAATATATATTCCATATGAATAACAAATATCTTGATTTGCAGAGACTGAGGCACACGTGCACATGATGATCTTAGTGCTGACAGGACTGTTCCTTCCTTCACTATATCATTAAATAATGTCATTGATAGAAGATCCAATAATCAGTTCCCATAGCTCTGAACCCTTTGAAAGCAGACTTTCCTGGGAGTCTATACCAGGTATGGAAGAAAAAAAAATGACCCTCAGTCTTTTGACTTGGACGCTTTAATTATATTTTTGCTTTACAATCAAAGAGAATTGCTTTCTAAATTCATGCAAGCAAAAATTAAATTTCAAGTTACAAATTCAGTTGGCTGTATTGAGAGTATGACCAATTCTTACAAAGATCATTCTTACATGAGTATCCAGTGTCCACCAGGATGCCTTTTCACAGAGCCACAGTGGCTGATGTCTCAAACAAAAGGCAGTTTTCTCACGGATTACTCACTGCAGACATTCTCTAAGGAAATCTTCTGTTCCTCTCATGCAGAGAGCTCAGTTTAGTCAAACAAGGATGGAAAAACTACAGTAGAAAAATGGCATGTGGCAAAGAAAACTACCACACCCAAGTCCATGACATCACTAATTACACACACAAAAAATAAGGTAGGTCTATTTCACTGTTCTCATGATGTCTGAGCAAAATGCTCTGCAGGAAGGGAAGAAGGCTTCCAGGGCTGATGTTATTAAAGCCCGTGTTCTCACAGCAAGGCAGGCCTGCCCTTCCCAGGAGTGTACCACACCTGCCCCTGACATCAGGGGGAGATTTGCTGCTCCTATACAACTGGTTTGAAGGCCAAAGAAAGAGTCTCTCGACAAAAATGGTCACCATTGCACAGATTCTTTTCCTGAGTCACAAATAGTGTCCAGAAGATAATTCCCAAAATCCACAGACATCGACTCCTTTGCCATCATCCAGTCTACACCACATGGTGTAGACATGGGTGGAAGTTCCCTTATGACATATTCTCAGTTTTTACACCCAGGAAATGTCTTACAGGGAATATAAAATTCCAAAACCTTGTAGGGTTTGATTTTCATCCTCCCAACCAGTAAGTGTATTACTACATTTCTGCAGGTTTCAGTTTCAGTGTATTAGGCAAATGGTGTAATTATTTTTCTTCTCCTCAACAGCTATGCCACGAAGATAACATGACCACTGCTCATTCAGTATCACACCAAATGGAAAGACTCAGACATATAGAGAGCGTGAAACGTAAACATTTCTAAATGTATATAATATAAATGTCTTTTAGCCATTTACTTCAGAGAATTAAATGCTGTCCTTTGTATTTCATCAGAATTGAGCATGTATAGTGAGGAAATGAGTTACTGAACCATGATATAATGAGCTATTGCAATCCAGCCTCAAATCCTTTTTTCTGTTTTTTTCCTTAAGGAAGCAAAATCCCCATGCACTGGTTAAAACTTTTCTTTAAATAAACTGAAAATTATTTCTGTTTGTTTAGGAAACATATCTCATTAGGCAATGGTGAGTCAGGGAGCCAAATCATTAGGACTTAGCTGTAATAACATTTTCACTTTTAACTGCTGTCAAATTATGAACTTGGTTTTGAAGATGTTCTTTGCAAGAGGGATGTTTAACAGGTCTTCTGTAGTGCAGGAGTTACTTCCTTTTATTTATTTTTTAGCAAGCAAGCACTGGAGACAAAGCCATTCTCACCCTGATCCAATTGACAACAGTGGGGTCTGGGCCTGCTTTCCAGTATCTAGCGCTTTAGGTGTCCATCAACTGCATTATTTCAATGTTCAAACTCAGCGGTGTAAAAGGACAAAGAAAGCACTAATGGAATTGCAGTAAACAGAAAATAACAGCAGTTTACTGCATGATTACCTAAGTTGCAAGATGATCTGGTTTCATTCAATTAATTAGATACACGTTTGTTCTTTGCATGCACAGAAAACTGACCAAAATGCTTTATCTTAAGTGACTCTAATGGGTAAATACATTCATTACTCTCAGCTGTCTGACCACAGAGTTACAGATTATAAACCTATTTTGCAGACACTCTGTGGACACCAGTTAAAACAAACTCTGAGTGACAATAATACCAGCTGAAATTCATTACTAATTACTTTTATTTCAGAACATTGGTAAAACATATTAATAATAGTATTGTCTACAGTGGACTGTAAATCACATCATTTCTGTAACTTGTGCTAATCCTGCTTAGTGGTCTGCACAACAAGTTTGTGTTCCATGCTAACACATCCTTCTCTGCATCACAAGAGGATAAAGTACAACTAAATATTCCCACAGTGCCTGTGTTAAGTTCTTGTAATGCGGGAGACACATACAATCTTTACACCACTCAAATGTAATTGATTACCAGTTATTGGTTTGGTATTTTCCTGAATATCTGCCACAATTCAAAATAATTCATTGCATTAGACCATGTATGTGGAAAGTAATTCAGGGTCATCTTAATGTTAATATTACATTCAAAAGCCTCTTTTCATACATTAACAAAGACTACTGAAAAGCTCCATGAGGGTCATCACTCAAAGAAAACTAAAGAAACTGGTTTCCATGCAAAGAGGTTGGGAAAAGCACTTGAAGTGACAGTATAAGCTGAATCTGTTTCAGCTTTCAGCCAGCCACATTTGGAAGAAACCCACACATTTGCAGAACTGTTTGGATTCCCGCACTTTGCTCAAATCTTGGCTTTCAGATTTTTCAGTTATATGTTGTATCTCTATGCACAGGCACTAAACTTTTTCACTGGTGATGTAATTGTCCTTCACCTTCTGCTCTCTCTGATCTGCCCCACAAAGAGGAAAAGAAAAGGAGAAGGAGAAAGTGGAAGATGGATGGATGGATGGATGGATGGATGGATGGATGGATGGATGGATGACCAATGATAGATAGATAGATAGATAGATAGATAGATAGATAGATAGATATTGAGGTATACATACCATAGAAATCAACACCCACATTTCTGTGTGGTGGTATCAGAAGCGATAGATTCTTGTATTTACTCCCTTATTTCATTCTGATCCAAACAAAACTTAATTTCCTGCTCTGCTCTAGCAGAGTTACATATCCTTAAGTAGACACTTCTCCCCAACATAAAGAAGAACCTAAACAAAAGCAATGCTAAAATTCTGCAATTCTGTTCTAGCACTGGAGTCCAAAATGACAGCCAACACAGCTAGTGACAGTCACAAATACACGCACAGTTTGTAGAGGAAATGTAGGAACAACTATAGATCAACAGTCTCCTCTATACACAAAGGAGAAAATTAATCTTCACAATTCTCTTTTTAAAGAAAACCTCACATACAAGTTCATACTGTGGAAACATGATTTAATTCTTCCCTTCACTGTGATTTGCTTATGAAACCTTGGGATTACAATGTATTTTCCACAGCATCTCAACAATGGCAATATAGTTGTTATTAATTATTACGCCGTATGAAAAAATACAGATATTAGAATGAGTTCTCTATTCTTGTGCTGGATGTGGTTGCACTAATATTCTTTAAAAATTGCTCTTCAAAGCCATGTCTCATTCTGGGATTAAACTGAAATGTATTTCAGAGTAAGATTTCCATAAACTCAAAGCTCTTAATCATTAAGTTTATTCGTTAATGGGGAAAATTGTCAAAATCTGAAGCTCATGTGTTAACACAACTAAGCTATCTCCTCATACACCACACACATTTCCAAAAATAGCCAAAAAAAGGAGAAAAGATAACATGATAATTGACAGTGTTTCAAGATGTACTTTCCAAAGTATGTTGGCAAGTACTCCAACAAAGCTGTGTAATTGCACTATATGTTTCCAACAGATATGTCTACATTACTTTAATTAGTCAAGACAATGATTTCATGGAATAGATGGACTTGGGCAAAGAGAAGTACTTTCTTCTTTCTTTTTTTTTTTTTTTTAATCTGTCTTTGATTTTTATTTTGCCCTTGATCCAAATGCTACCCACCCTACTCTCCCTCCTCCTTTTCAAAATTCAATCCTAAATTCCATCATGCCAAAGCAGTTTACAAATACTTCTTACAGAAACTGAAAAACATTACTAAGGAAGAGAAAATCTGCCAGCTCCTGTAATCATGTATTTCATGCAGAAAATTCTACCAGCAGAAATTCTATCCACATAAGAGATTCAACCACGTGGATTACATGCTCAGGGTAAAGCTGTCTTTGACCCCTGGCTTCTTCTGCAACTACTGATTAGAATCCATCTGCATTGGAACATCAAACGTTAATGAATCTTTTTCTTTTTTTTTTTCCTTACCTGGGTTACATCTTTGGCTAATCAGGAGGTGAAAGGCTCCAGATCCCTTACCAATCTTCTGAGCCATCCAGTCTGCCTTTGCAATTACTCTTAATCTTCTAATCCTAAAATATTTTCTAATGCTCTTGTTTATTCATTTGCTTTGTGCAATATAGCATCCAGAACATTTTAACCATCCCACATTTATGAAGTTCTTCATGTCATGCAGGCCAGAACAGATTCCTGGCTTTCATGCAAGTTTGTGTAACACCACCCAGTTCTCTAACCTCCCCTATGGAGAATTCACTCCCTCTCACTCCTTCTCTTTCTGCATTTTAAACCAGGAAAATCTTCAGAGCATATTCTTAAAACTATTTACTATGATTAATTTATAGGTACATAAATCTATGTTGCACAAGTGAGTCAAAAACTCAGGGTAACCTCCTGGCTTTCTGGGCTGCTCATTCTTACCAAAACAAGAAAGAACACTATTGGATCACATTCATTCAA